CGTCAGTTTACGTGGCCTACKACTTGGTGGCTGAGTTGCTGTCGCACTTCCATTTACATTTTCTGACAGCTGACTGTGGAATATTTAGGAGKGAGGAAATTTCACGACTGGAGTTGTCGCACAGGTGGCATCTTATCARAGTTCCACACRGGAATTCACTGAGCTCCCTTTTTTCCACAAAAGTTTGTGATAACAGTCTGCATGACTAAGTGCTTAATTTTGTACACCTGTGGCCGTGGAAGTGATTGGAACACCCGATTCCGATCATTTGGATGGGTGAGCAAATATTTTTGGCCATATAGTTCACTCAATTTAGAGTCACCAACTAGTTTGCAGTGACAATGCAGGCCAGTAAGGTTCTGGCCCTTTTCATCTAGCATGTCTGACCATAATGAGAACCGATTCTTGTTTGAGTACAAAGGTTTAATTAGAGAGTGGTACTTTAATTTTTGGTACTTTAACATAGATTGGTCGTAACCACACTGCTAAAAGTGTTGTGATAATTGACCAGYAAACGTGTCAGAGTGGCATGAATATGATGGGGTTGTATCCGTGACCTAAGGCCATCATGGCAGTTCTGCTTCATATTCTAAATGACTAAGCAACACCAGAGGACCATAAGAAGGCCCTGTTTACACAACACTTGTTTTWAAGTTAAACAGCAACACTTCTGTAGCATTTTGGCCATTTGTGTACATAACAACAGCAATCGCATCATCTGACACCAAACCTTTTTGAATTCAGGTCCCAAAGTGGAAAGTTTTAGAAAAGTATTCAGGTCTCAAAGTGGAAAGTTTTAGAAAAGTATTCAGGTCTCAAAGTGGAAAGTTTTAGAAAAGTCAGCATCAGTGCAAAATTCTGCTGCTTACTTTTATCAATTTATCAAAGCTTCTGACTAGGGTTGGGCATAATCGTATCGTGTGCGATTAATCGTCAGAAAAACATTAATCGATTATTTTTGGCACTTGACGATTACCGTAATATGATTAATGCAACCAGGCAGAGTCCGCTCGGTGCTCCTCCCTGCTTCAAATATGACAAACATAAAAAAGGTTCTGTAATTTATTTATCTATCAACACAATTTAAAAATTGATGTATAGCCTGAAGTCTGTGATTTTGACACAATTTGGAACAGATTTTATGAAAAGAAAATCTTTCCCACTAAATTGGTCATGTGACCAGGACATAAAGGTGTGCAGGGACTCCAGGGGGTTAATCGTCAAATTAATTGTAATTGGCTAAATACCACAATCAATCGTGATTAATTTTTTGCCAATATTGCCCAACCCTACTTCTGACACAGTGCGCTACACCATCTCTTAGTTAAGTAGGCACATTGTACAAATATTTTTTGTCAAAACAAACATACCTGTACTGTTTTAATGCTCGAAACTAAAGTGTCTGTACAAAGAAACACGTGTCGTTAAAATACAAAAATCACAGCAGCAGCTGGTGACCTGGCATGGAAACCGCAGCGGATTCGACATCTTTTGCAGTCTTGTCTTAACAGCAGTTGCAATCACAGCGTTACTATGTAAACGTAACACCTTTCACAGCTGTCATGAAAAAAAATCTGTAATCTTTTCTAGAAATTGTTTGTGTAAAAAAGCGTCTAAGAAACAACACAACTTTTCAAACCCCTCAGACCTGTACTGCATGTACTGGAAGCTCCCACTGTGTTCTTAGTTTACACCTCAAGACCTGACCAAGACCACTGCAAAGACATTCTACATTCTGACTGATCTTTTATCTCTAATCAGGGTCATTATCCAGAGTGAAAGGGTCAGTAACACCATATTATGTGTCTCAGGGCTCAAAGTAGAAAACAGCTGATCTAGGATCACTGCTGTCATGTTCTCAGGTGGGTCATAGTYGGTCACAAAAACCTGACATGAGACTCTAATAAAACTAGTCAAAGTGTCCTCAGTGGAGTTAATGACCAACTTTTTTATTTTTTCTTCAGTTTAATGGTTTTGTTTTTTTACCTACAAACTGCAGCTTTCAGCTTTTAGTTCCCAAACTCCCCTTCAACTCTAAAACTGAAGTTAAGTGCATTTAAATCGAACAATCTATAGAACATAGAACAAATTAAAGGCTTAACACTCCTTGAAGGAATGCATACAGCCTGTCTGGTTTTAGGATAAGATCTTATGTTGAGAAATGTCAACTGTAGCTGTTTTGGTCAAACTTTGTGTATAATGCTACATGTATGTGCAATCTCTTGATAATAGCCTCATTCATAAGACAGCTCAGTCTGGGACTGACACGTGTTCTGTCCTCCTCTGAACTTTCAGAAAAAACACAAAGGTGTAAAGGCGAGTAAAGTGAGCCTGCCTCTGAGTTCCCAAGCAAGGTAAGATTTTACTATTGTCCCGCAGAGGGGAAATTAATTCTCTGCATTATACCCATCGCACATGTGAACACACATGTGGAGCTGCCAATTACAGCGCCCGGGCAGCTGAGGGGTTAAGGGCCTTGCTCAGGGGCCCAAAGTGGGACTGGTTGGTTCGGGGAGTTGAACCGGCAACCTTCCAATCACAGACTCATCTTCTCTAACCTCTGCGCCACCACTCCCCAAATAAGTAGGCCCAAGTTTAGCTGACCGACTTCAGTCAGTGATTGACTGCAGCTCAGAAAATAATGAGCTCATGACATCAGCGAGCGACCGCAGGATTAATCAACAGATTTATTATTGAGGGAATGTTAAGGATGACACCGAACAGCAACTTTGTAGTTAGTTTAAACAATATTGAACCACAGGATCACTAAAGCTCTGTTAATTCTGTTGGTTTGTGTGTGTGTGTGTGTGTGTGTGTGTGTTCGTATTTGCTACATCGTGGGAACCATTTTCCAGAAAAAGTCAATGAACAGTCCCCACGGAGATATAAAACCAACCTGTGTGTTTGATACAATCGAGACTGACGTCATCTCGAGCAACAATCAACAGATTTATTACCGTGGGAATATTGAAAAGTACACAAAACAGCAACTTTGTGGTTAGTTTTAAAAATATTGAACCACAGAATTGATAAAATGAGTTAATGCAGGGTTTTTTTTTCCCCATACGAGGATGACGTCAGTGAGCGACTGCAGGATTAATCAACAGATTTATCAAAGAGAGACTATTTAAAATGACAAAGAACAGTAACTTTGGAGTAGAGATGTGACGTTCGCGAACGATCTGAATCTTTTGAACGGCTCTTTACAACGAACGATAGGAGCCGAGTTGCGGGCAGTAACGAGCCATTTGTAGTTTTATTTCTTTTATTCCTCATATAATCTTTGTTTTTTCATTCTTAAATCACTCCCGCTTTGCTTTTTCACAGAAAACAGGCGGAGTTGTGGATTACAGAAGCTCACGGTGAAAGGGGGTGGGGGGTTTCCGCTTGACAAACACATGGCTCCACCCACGTGACGGGATGACGTCATTACGTACGGCTACGTGATGACGTATTTCCCTACGTGATGACGTATTTCCCTACGTGATGACGTATTTCCCTACGTGATGACGTAATACGTTCAAAATCTAGCGGCTCTTTTGAACGGCTCTATGAAACAAACGGCTCCCCAAGATCCGGATCCCTTCAAAGAGCCATTTATCCCATCCCTACTTTGGAGTTATTTTAGAAAATATTGAACCACAGGATCGCTAAAGTAAGTTTATTTGGTTTGTTAAGTTTGATACGAGGCAGACGTCAGTCACACAATAAATACGTCGTAGTCAACTTCAGCCGAGCTGAGATCTGCTCCACGCCTGTTTGGTTCCGTGCCGCTGGGTTCTTTACTAAACACGTACACGTGAACAGACCTGGCCAGCTTCTCCAGTGGTTTGTGAATGAAGTGAAGGAAGTGCAGCAATTTCACGGAACCGTCTTGTGAAAGAGGCTATTGTGAGATGTTTCAGCACTCAAATTATGTGTTAATGATGACAAGATACTGCTGCACTAAATTTATCTTAAAAAATTAACTGGGTTGGATTTTTTGTGTTTGTGTATAAACTATGGAAGTCATTTTGCTTCAGTTGTAGACATACTGTACATCCKATGATTACTTTCTCTGAGATTCCATAAAATCTATCCAGTGTTGAATGAAATATTTTGTTAGCAGACAGCACTGTTGACTGACAATAGGAAAGTTTTAAACAGATCTCACATGATCAGTTAGTGTTGGGGATGATTCTCAGCTCAATATAGGCTCTTTCACAAAACACCACCTTCTGGCTACCTCTGTGTCATCAAATAACCTACATGTAAAAAGGTAAGCAGAGAATCACTGAAGTGATTTATCATGTTTTGAAAACAGTACTAGGGAGCTGTTGGCCACACATTTAATGTGTTGGGCTCCACATCAACACAAACATGAGAAAATTTACAGTGCTCCATGCCTCTTTTGGTTCTGTGATGCTCATTTCGTTTCTGAAAGCTCACATCTATGCGGGATGTAGTCGACTCCATCATTCAGAGGGGACCATAAAGGTGGGCTGGTCTTTGCAGCCATTTTGTGAAAGAGCCTCATCTGTAAAATGGGCAGAATGGCAGCCAAAGTTTGATAAGTTTGCTTAACTGTGGCAACCATCTTAAGTGGGGCTGACTCCAAAAGGTAACCAGCTGTCCCTTCATTGATTATTTTCTGAAAATATAACTCAAATCTATCCTAAAAGACAGAAACAAACAGGGAAAAACATTCCTGCCTTCAGTGGTAGGCAATGAAAAAGGCAGAATGTGGAGTTCATGCCACCGTGAGGGGTACTGTTTCATCTAAAACTCTTCACATAAAGTTTGAATATTTAATTTCACACGTTTCAAATCAGTTTTAAGTGCAGTTACTGATAACTATATTTACTCACTGCACTAAAACTAAAAAGTTTTCTTAATTTAGATCTAAGCCCTGATTAAAAAAAGGTAGGTTATTTTCTGTTTTCTTTGAACTGAACAGAAAGTGCTGATGAGATTACCTGTTTAGTCTGATTTGAGAAGTTTACGCAGAAACTGGCTTGGTTAGCTTCGACGTAAGCTCGTCAGTTTTTAAACTCTGAGGTAATACTGATGAGGTGAACTGTTGTTAGCACATCAGATTCACAATAAGACAAAGTTCTCGTCTTCTTTTCTCCCCTGCTTTCTTCTGTCCAACACATAAGTGCACGTGATGGTGGTGGTGAGGGTGGGGCGGCTCACTGCTGAAAGGCCTGGTAATAGTGAGGTAGGGAGCTGGAAGTGCTCATAGCAGACGTGTACGCCTGAGGTAGCTGGCTGTGAACTCCAGGACCCTGGGGGATGTGAGCCTGTGGAGGCTGGAAGAACGAGAAGGGCCCTGGGGTCTGGGAGGGGATGCCAGTGGAGGAGGATGGAGGAGAGGTAGTGGAGGCAGCAGGTGGGTAGCTCATCACCAACCCCCCCACCCCCATGTGAGGGCTGTAAGGGGGTAAACTAAAGGGTAAAAAGCTGAGCAGGGGCCCCAGCTCCATGTTAGTGGGGCAGGACAGCTCTGTGGTGGAGAGGGCAGGGCTACGACACAGCAAGTGGGGGTCGCCCTCACCCAACCCCTCCCTCTGAGGGGAGGCAGAGGTAGARGTGTTCACAGCACACAGCTGAGGCGGAGGGGGCGCACTCTGCAGATCCAGCAGGAAGTTCTCCACGTCGGAACGAGAGTATGAGGTAGAGCCGTAGGACTGCTGCTGGGGGGCTGCCGGGGCCTGCAAAGGTTGGGGGTGGGAGGASTGGGTAGACACGTGGTGTCCCACCGCCATGGCTGAAGGCAACAAGCCCTGCATGAGCCCTTGAGAATGGCCCATCCCTGAAACTGGATTAGAGTAGGGGGGGCCCAGATCCCTGACYAAAGACTCCATGGGCTCCTTAGTAACAGAGGTGGGGTCAGAGGTCACCAGGCCGGGCTCTTCTTTCACCGTACAGTGAGGGGTGGGGGTCTGAGCAGCTCCAGTAGTGCTAGGGGGCGGCGGTGACATCATCCCCGACTCCTGTGCGTGACTCTTCTTTAGGTGGCGCGTCAGGTGGTCTCTGCGGCCAAAACGTTGAGCGCAGCGGGTGCACAGGAAGTCCCGGCGCCCAGTGTGGACCACAGCATGACGCCGTACATCCTTCCGCGTGTAAAACCGCCGATCACATCGCTCGCACGAGTACTTCCTCTCTCTGACAGGCACGGTGGTGCTGCCTTCTGAAGAAGGAGGTTTGTCGCTGTGGTCGTTCAGCGTCTCCAACAGAGAGGGGGGCTCCTCCGGGCAGGGCAGTCCTCCTGCAGCGCTGTGTGTGGTCACAAGGTGGCGCCGGTAATCCAGCTGAGTGGTGTACTGCTTCCCACAGTCCTGGCACTGAAAAAGCTGCCTGCTGCCTGGGAGGCACTCCTGCAGCTGAGCCTTCAGATGACCGTCCTGCTGGTGGAACATGGTCTAACAAGACGAAGACTGGTGATCCTGCAGCTGCACGGGGACTCTGACTCGGGCCAAGAGCCGGAGCCAATACAGACAAAGGACCATCAGTCTGCAGCCCTCTGGGTGTGCTGATAACTTCAGAGAGCAGTGCCGGTACTCAGAACTGTGAATTTAAAGCAGAGATCCGTGATCTGACCAGCCAGAGTCCGGAGTTTGTTTTCTGCTACAGCTGGTGCCATAGCCCCKCTCCCCAAGAGGGCTGAGGTGATGAGAAGTTAGAGCAGGTCGATGTGTTTACTGAGAACAGCTCTCGTCTTAACAGGTCTTCAACAGATGCAGAGCAGAAGAGTCACAGGAGCAGACCAAGACCTTTACATATCTGCAAAACAGGAACAAAAATATGTTACTGCATGAACAGATTACTTTTTACCTAAACCTACACTTTGCAACCAAGACTGAAACTGAAATCTCTATAATTTATCAGATTTCTTCAAGTTGACGACTTAAGAACAAATKTGTGCGTATGAARGGTTCTTGCATGAGGCCCATTGTGTGTATTTATAATTTTTTTATTGCTGATACAAGAACCAAATATTTCAGTTGTTTAAAATAATCTGTTKCCCCTTTGTAACATGGGAACAAAATAATTTCCCTGCAAATCTTTAACTGTATTAATTTCCTCTCATCAAAAACAAAAAATCCTGAAGATTTGGGAAAACTTGCTCTTTATTGGCCAAAGTTACCTGGATGGAACCAAATATTATTTAGGCTTGTAAGCTACAGTTTGCACTGTTTCAATTAAAGAAAACTAATTTTCTCAGCGCATCTTTGATTAATTTTGTCCAGCTGTAGACTAGGTCTCTGTAAAATCAGAGCAGGTATTAGGAATGTGCGATATGGCAAAAAATTCATATCACGGTATACTTTATGATGAGTGGCGGTAACGATATATACACTCACCGGCCACTTTATTAGGTACACATGTCCAACTGCTCGTTAACACTTAATTTCTAATCAGCCA